TGGTGCTATCAACGATGGTTTTTATTTACGATGATATAAATAACGAGTATACGTTGGTTATATATGAATGCACGCACACACAAAACACAGGCAGACACTCACGCCCAGACGAACAGTTAATTCACTTCCTAAAATAGGAGTTTTGTTATAATTGTGTTATTCGGAATTCCCCGTTCCTTTTTTCTTCTTCATTTGTTTTGTCACATTAACTTACGTTTTTGTTTTAGCAGGAAACATTAAATTTTCATATAAATAGATAGATAAAAACTGTTGACTGACTTGCAACCATTTGGTTAGTATTGATTTTCTATTTACTGCATCGTAAAACTTCAATCACTAATGACTAGCTTCGTGAGGAATCTTCTCCGAGTTCCTCTAGTGGGAAGACGTGACCAGGGAAGTTCAACCTGTTCGGGTGTAGGCAGTGTCAACCGAAGACTGTGTATGAGGTTGCGCGACTCCGTGAATTTGATCAAGTTAGACATTAACACCGTTAGATACCGGCTCAGTGGTCTAACGGTTAGGGCGTTCGCGCATAATACCAGGGGTCCTGGGTTCGATTACGGCGAGGTGCAGGGATCGTGGATTCTCACTGCTGGTGGGTCCCATTCCAGGACGGAACAGTCGTCTCTCAGTGCTTCCAGGGTTTTTAATGGTGGTCTAGCATTGATCGTTTCACGGTTTCAGAAATGCATGATGATTTATTGTTGATAATCAAGAAACCATAGTGAGTGATGTTTTATTCCACCTAAAAACCACTCAGTAGTGTTCATCAACTAGCTTACTAATAATAAAATTGAGGAGGTGAGCACGTTAAGTTTAAAATATTAGATAAAAATCCAGGAGTCAATATTTTTAAGTAATTTATAATTCAGGAAGTAATGAGACTGTTGTCCAATTTTAATTGCGATATCTTTTGTAGGGTCAATATGACTAAATTTCACAGGTCTTAATCCCTCAGTCAGATGCAGATGCAACGTAGAACTTCGTACGTCGGTACATCAGTTCATGTTGCCATACCACATCAGCACAGAGGTATAATTGTCAATTCAAATCCAATAGTAGAAGAGGTAGTAAAGGTATTAGAAGTAATCCGAGAGGTTAGGATTAAAAGATATTATTCAACACGTTTGATTCAGTGAGAAAAGATTAGAAAGTAAAAACTAGAGTGGTTGAAGAATCAAGAAGATTAGGATTTAGAGAACACAAAGAATAAATCTACCGGCGCCATTGCAAACGGTTTTGAGCCCGACCGTAGCTGCTACCTTGATGTGGTGGTCGGACTTGCATATCGTGATGACCCAACCGAGCTATATTGGTTGGAACTTATGTTCCTACAGGTTCTACCATCCCAGTCTGGTCGATTGGAGAACGATCAGACTAATACCAGCTACTCAAGGTCTGAGGGCGAAGTCGTAATGCTGACTGCAGAGGGTTGTGACAGCAGTAAGGTGTTTCCCTCGGACAACCGGCATCTGTAGCGATGCTGCCTTCTCACAAGGAAGGAAGGGTTAGAAAATGTCGACCCTAAAAATATCACACCTCACTCAACCTCACGGATTTCCGTCCCAGGTGGTAAGAATGCCCACTAAGGGCCTTCAAGAGCGGAACTAAGACTTGAAAAAGCTTTCATAAAAAGGCCATGCCTCAAACAGTTGTCCTTTGGACTTTGCGGTCACGCTCCCAGGTCTCTAATACCAACACTAATCTACCTTCCTTTTTCAGGTTCCTCAAGGTCTTAACCCCTAGAATTCATCTCAAGATGAATCATTAATGAGACAATTATAACATGTTTTTTTGCTTAAAACTAAAGTTTTTAAAAACATTTAAAATAATGGATGACATTTACTTTCCAAAAAACTCACAAGTGATCAAGTTCAAAAAATGAATCTTTTGACACTCCAATGGAATCTTTGACGCGGTAGGAGCGAGAATCAAACAACTGTCACTGAGTTCACTCTTAATTTGGTTTTATCTAATTGAAAGGAAAGCTTAAAATTTGGCTTCATGTTAAATATGACTCGCTTGATCAATGATTTTAGACAAAATAATACTCTTTGTATGATTATAACCCAAGCTAGATAGAATTAAGGTCTAAGAAGTCACTTATACTGAGGATAAATTCTTGTAAGACTATGATACTCACATTTAAGTGATTGATCACTGATGTTGATAACTCGATTTTAAATTTTGTGAGCTGATAAATTTTTATTTTATTGCTTAAATAGGTCATGCTTACTGTATTGGATCTTCAGTAATGTCGTAAACATTAGTCTGAGAAACAGCGCTTATCCATTGACATATGTTTCACAATAATGTTCTTATTGTTGGTGTTCTGAAGTCTGTTTTATTCATTCCTAATTGACTTAAATGTATTATGAATGTAGACCGAGTTCGTTCACAGGATAACTTTCAGTAGTTAATTGGTTAAGGTATATTTTTTCACAATATTAAACTTTTCCAAAATTTTATTACATTTTTCTTTTAAAGACAACAATTATGTGGTTTGAAAAAAAAACATTTCAGTTTATTCTTCAAATGTTATACGACTAAAAAACAGAACAGAATAACAAAAATACATTTTAAAATAGGTGAAATTATAGGAATATGTAACTGAATAAAGTTGGTTTTTTAAAATATACACATTCTATCCGCAGCAGTTTCTATATCTAATAGAAAAGAAAAAAATAAACATTTTTGTTAAACTATTAGTTACTACTTTTATTTAAATCAGTAGTATAAAATTAAGTTACTAATTATTTATGATGTAGGCTGTAGTAAATATTAATCATAGTTATTGTTAATCTACTTATCAAAAAAGGATAAATAGTAGTAAAATGAAAGAATATTGTGTAATTTTTTCAGAGATAAATACAGATGCATTGTGTTATGAATTATTTATCGAAATCAAATATTACAAATCAAATTCTGTCTGTGAAAAATTGTTAAGAATGTAGTTAGTTTATGAATGTGTGTGTTAATATATCTAGTTGAGATCAGTTTGTGATTTAAACTGTCAGAATAATTGTTTATTGAAATAATGGTCAAATGATAATTGGAGAAAGATAAAAAGTATGGTTAAGACCATTATAGAATGAAAGGTAACATTTACTGTTTTTGTATGGAATGACTGAGTTTGAATTATTAAACAGTTAGAGTCTCTGTCCCCAAATCATAGGTTTTCAACCTGTCCACTTCCTTTTGATCTGATCTTTCCTACTGGAAAAAACGGTTTATAATGATAGTTTTGGTGAAACTGACGTCTATAGTCTATTAAATAGCTGGTAATGTTGGGAAATGCTTTTCGAAAAAGCTTACTTTGTGCTCTGACGCCTAACTTCTGTAGCCTAAAGTTTTATCAGTATACAACTGAATGAACTTAAATGTATATTGAATTCCTTGAAACATCACTGGTATCTTGAAGAAGTTAGAGTTAAAAAGATCAAGAACTCATTGATTGTATGACTATTTTCAAATGGGTTGTGTTAAACTGTTCACTGATATATATATAAAGCTAATCATATATCATTATCACAAATGTGTAAACTGAATTTCATTTGAAAATATGTTTTCCAACTGTATTGACAAGGCGAAATCAGATTAATGACTTTACAAGGATCCTGTATGCGCGTTTCCGAGACACAGCATACATCGATGGCACGAGATTCTGAAGTTCTAGCTAACGAAGCCTGTTGCCCTATTTGACACAATGTCCGTACATTAAATGCTCCAACATGTAGTCTAGAGCGGGGTTTCAGAAGACCAGAAATGACGTTTCGTGAACTCGCATTGTTTGCATCAGCTGTGCAGTGTGATAAAGGAATGTGAGAAGAGTTAGTCGTGGAGATAAGAGAGGTATTAGGGGGAAACATTGTACTGCTATAACACATCTCTGTAATCAGCAGTACGACTTCGCCCTCACACCTTGGGTAGCTGCTTTTAGTCTCATCGTTCTCCAATCGACCAGACTGGCATGGTAGACGAGAGTCACCGATGGTTAGAGACCTTGAACGACATGGTTCAAAATCGTTTGCAATGGTGCAGGTGCATCCATTCTTTGTGTTCTCTCTAATTCTAACCTTCTGAATTCCTCATAATCTCTACATTTCTCCTTCTAAATTTATCTTATTGAATTATACTTCTCGAATCATATCTTCGCTCCCTAATCTTCTCCATTACTACTAATACTTCTATTATTGCTCTCACTCTTGGATTTGAACTGACAGTTGCGTGTCTCTGTGCTGATGAGACATGGCAACCTGAACTGATGTACTTATGTACGAAGTTCTGCATTGTATCTGTTTGTCTGTTTTTCCAACTGTATTATCAAATGAATTAACCAATGTGGAGATGATGCATCCATTTGTTTTTATTTCTTTTAGACGTACAAAAATCCTAGAACATGTCGATCAAATAAGGTAAATTCAAAATGATTGAAAATTTAATTATTAACCTTGAAAAAAAAACTATCTCATGTCTATTGAAGTTAGTTTACCGGTTGACCTATAGTTAAAAACGCTTTATATTTAAAAACATTTTTGGATTATATGAATGCAATAATTGGGAATGCGAATAGAAATCACCCGTTTGACACATTACATACACTTCAATGTTAAAATAACTCATACACTAATCCAAATAGAGAATAATGATAGAAGTTTCCGAATAGACAGATTGATGTCCCTAACCAGAGGTTAACAACACTGTTTATATAATAACATAACATATAAAATGACCTTAGAATGTATGATAATGTATAACAACAAGTTAGTTTAAAAGTTATCTCAACAAACAAATCAGATAAAGGCTAAAAATAATAGCCTTGTAAAATGCTGAATTGAATGAATACCATTGAGGTTTTTAAACTTGAAAAGCTGTAATTGTGAAATTTAAAGACAATTTACAAGACAGACTCTTTACGGGTAAACAGTTAGTAATGAACATCTGTTACATTCTAGTTTGAAACTCCATAACAAAGTTCATCAAAAAGGAATTAAGCGTCAGATCTTCGCGGAGAGTGCAGCATCATTTCAGAGAATTTATAATCAGATTTGATTGTGGGGTTGTGAAGATTGTTAAGCTACACATTTGAAATCATGAAACGATCAATGTTAGACCATCATTAGAAACCTATAAGCATTGGACTGCTATTTCCTCGTGGTATGGGACTCATCAACTGAACCCACCCACAACTCCTGCACCTCGCAGGATTCGAAGCCAGGACCTTCGGTCTTGCTCACGAATGCCTAAGCTCCAAACCACTGAGCTGGTATCTGGCGGTGTTAATGTCCAACTTCGATCAATTCACGGTCTTGCGCAACTTCATACACTGTCTTCGGTAGTTACTGTATACACCCGAATAGGTTGAACTTCACTGGTCACGATTTCTCACTAGAACTAGGAGAAGATTCATCACGAAGCTAATCATTAGTGAGCACAGGTAATGATTGTTTCTAATAAAAATATTCTATTTTATAACATGATCATTTCTTTTGATGATTTTTTTTAGATGTCCTGTTTTATTTCTAACCGGTTCATTAGCATCACATAATCATACAGTGTTTCGTTTATACAATGCTGTTCTCTCAGCTGTACGCAATGATCCACATCTTCAAGGTAAAGTTGAATTGATCCAATTAGACAATGTAGCCAATGTATTGAGTGAACAAGTAAGTAATCATTTATAAATATGACTAAAATTTCTTATCAGCCTATCTCTCTATGTATGTACGCATGTATAGCGCTTCCAAACAACAGACTTTGGATAGCAAGTTAGCTGATAAGGAACTATAGGAAAACTGATTTTAAGTAATTGGAATGCGTCCATAGGATACCTTAAATCTAAGTTTCATGCACCAGTTAGTACTTGCAGTGATGCAAGAACTGATGCCGCCTTTTTTTCACATGAATATCGGCAAAATTTTTATCTAGTTGAACATGATATTTGTTGAATGAACGAGTTGCATAGATAGTCTGTCATAATATCAGAAAAATGCCATCGACATCCTAGAAAACTTTTTAAAGTCTGAAAATAATTACAGCAGTCTCAATCGTTAAAAATGCTATGAAAACAACATCCACTAGACTATGGAATCCCTGAAATTATTCAATATTTCATAAGTGTTAAAAGTAAGGATAGTTTTAATCTCTTGTTATTCATTATGAGACCTATAGAAAACAAACTCCATTTAAATAATACTAATGTAGTGAAGGAGAACACAGGTGAGGGCAATCGAATTGTATTTAACAAAAATTACAGAGTTACTCAGTAAAATAGGAAAACCATATCGTAAATCGTTACCTTGCAAAATATCAGTCCATCATCAATCCATTGTCTGACATTTCACTACTGTTCATGCGTTTCATACAAATTCCATTGTGTTCCCAATCTACCTTTCTTGATCTTCCCCCATCTTCTGCTGCCAGACATTACGTTTTCACTTACGTCATATACTACTTATAAGTAGTGCGCACCACACTAATTCGATAAGTCGAAATCAGATACAAACTGTACTGTTACAATTAAAACAGGTGAACAGACAGTTAACTATACACAGGTACATAGTGTGATTAATTACAAAATTGTTGTAGATTCTTTCTTGGTTGTCGTCATCAAAGACTAATCTTATTAAAACAATCACTAAAAACACTAGTATGGAACTGTTTTTAACACTGACCATTCACAAGTTCACTGTGAATTGTTTTACATATTCAACTGTATATATATACTGATAAGAATTACAGAAACTTTAACAGCTGTCATAGGCTTGCTAATACAAAATACAAACGTTGTACCATAGTACTAGTAGTAGCAGCTGATATTATTCATATCAACTAATATAAATGTTGAAATCCTGTGCAAGATGGCTAATACGTCTGGTATTCGAAAACTTGATAATGATGACCTCCTAACTGTCTATTAGTTCTTCCGAATTCCCTTAGCTTGTACCTCGAAAGGAAGATATAAGACGCGAAGTTTGTACAGAAGTTTTGGTTCCAAAGTCAGTAAAGAACTTAGGTGACGCGGAAATTCTAGAAGCCTACAGAAACTTATTAAACCAAGTAGCAAAAAATGTAGGAAATTGTCCAATCTGAGTTTTATTATTTATACTCTTGTTCGACAAATTCTCAAGAGGTTTCAACGTTTCCACGATAACAATATCGATTATGAAATTGAGTTATTCAAAATTTGACTTAGCCTTGTAGTATTAATTTCTTTATGATTACAGATATCTCGTGTAGATACTTTACAACTACCTTCTTAATGAATATAACCACCTAACTATCATAACTCACAAGAGCACTGGAAGTGCAATCTATACATCAGTCAGTTGCAACGTAGAACTTCGTACGTATGTACATAAGTTCATGTTGCCATACCACATTATTAACACAGAGAGGCAAATGTCAAATCAAATCCCATAGTAATAAAGATAGTAGAGTTATTAATGGTAATGAAGAAGAATAGGGTTCGAAGATATTATTCAAGAAGTATAATTCAGTGAGATAAGGTTAGAAAGAAAAAGGTGGAGGTGCTGACGATTCCAGAAGATTAGGGTTTGAGAGAGCTCAACGAATGGGTGCCTTTGCGCCATTGCACTTGAGCCATGTCGTTCAAGGTCTTTAACCACTGGTGACTTTCGTCTCGCGGACCCCAACCAGGTAGTCGACAACTACCAACATGACTCAGTCCACTTGTTAGTGACTTTATGGATTTCTGCCATGTTTTGGTCTGGCCGCCTCTAGCTTTCTTCCAACCTACTCTTACACCACAAAACATAGCTCGTCAAGGCAGTCGGTGGTTAGCCACAGGTAACACATGTCCCAACCACCTCAACTGATGAAGTTTCACTACTTCATCTATTGATCTGCCATCCTTACCCAGTATTCGTTTCCTAACAACAGCATTGCTTACTCGGTTGTCCCAGGATATACGAGCAATGCTTCTTAAACATCTATGATCGAATATTAATAATATCATCACTATGCAATGTATACATAGTAATGATATTTTAAATAACCATTGTGTTTTGTATTGACAATAGTTTAATTTGAATGATCCATGTATACTATCCAACCTCGACTAATAAAATAGATGATAGGTGAATGAATCGTTCGGAAATGAAAAAAACAGTTCCAGATTCATTACATCCTGATAGATACGATATTAGTTCAGCACAAAACATGCTAACTATATACAAAAATATATATACGTTTACATTTTATTTCTCCTTTGATAAAAAAATTTTTTCGTCATGATAATAATCACTTTGAAGTATTGTGACCTAATTCAATGAAATTTTGACGAAATAATTATAAACACAAAATGATAAACATGAATTCAATGACAGCGGTTTTTGTTGAACAAGTTATTAAGATCAATTGTCATTAGTTCTTATAAGGTTATCGTAAATATAAATATACATATACATATATATATATACTCTACAAAGATGTAGTTAGAAGTACCTCAAGTATTTCATTTGTCGCTTAAATCTCATCGACCCTGATGAATTAATTGGTGACAGACAAAATTTCAGCATGGAATGAGAGGTTCAACAACTTCAGTCACTTGTGACGTAAGCATTATTTTCGAAAGTCAAAGTCATGATACAGGTTTTTGATCGTCAGTGCTACGGTGGCTAAAGTGACAATAGATTATAAGAAAACTCAAAGAGGCCAAGCCAAAAAGATAACAGCATTCAATAAATAATATCTGCAACCGTTTGTTTATTTAAGCTGTGTTGGTAGGCAATTGAGGTCGGAGCGATAATTTTGGTCAATGGTTGAAAACATTAATTAATATGGCTTAGAATCGGTTGACATGGTACAAAGGTAATCACTGTTTGTCATCTCTAAGATTTGGAGTTCCGAAATATTCTTACATATTGTGTTAACTATATGAAATATACTGTCTATAGCCATTCTGTTCTACTGATATTTATACTGTCGTATACTGCAGAAACACAAAATATTTCTATCCGACCGTCATATCTGGTATTTGATGTTCTTAGAAAATTGTTTCATTGTAACCATAAAATCGATCATCGTTAGACTACCATTAAAAAACGCTTAGGAACAGTGGACGGCCGTTTCTTCTTAACATCGGACACAACAGTAGTGTTCATTCACGATTCCTACACGCAAGAATCTCAAAATAGGACGAAACAGCCATCCAGTGCATCCAGGTTTCTAATGATGGTCTAACATTGTTTTATATATGATTTCAATAAAACTGAACAATCTCTATTACTCTATGATGGAAAATAATAAGCAATAAAAGATTTCGAATCCTCACATACTTACTTATTATATACTCACGCCTATTTCCCCCAATGGAGCATAGGCCGCCCACCAGTTTTCTCCAACCAACTCTGTTCTGGGCTTCCCTTTCCTGTTCTGTCCAATTTTTGTGTTTGTCTCCATTTCTCAGGGTAATTTGTTCCTTGGTCTTCGTCTTTTCCTTTGACCGTGAGGGTTCCAAATGAGGGCTTACCTTGTGACACAGTCGAGTGCTTCCTGCAATGTGTTTCCTATCCACTTCCAGTGCTTCTTCCTGATTTCCTCCTCAACTGGAATCTGATTTTTTCTCTCCCACAGTACGTTGTTGATGATGGTGTCTGGCCAACGGATCCGAAATATTTTGCGTAGACAACTGTTTGTCAACACTTGTATCTTCTAGATAATGGCTTTGGTAGTTCCCCAAGTTTCCGCCCCATGCAGCAGAAGTGTGTTGACATGAGTATTAAAAATTTTGACCTTGGTGTTAATTGATAGTTGTTTTTAGTTCCAGATGTTCTATAGTTGTAGAAATGCTGACTCTGCTTCCGCGATCCACGCCTTCACATCTGAATCATATCCAGCTTGCTCGTCGATGATACTGCCTAGATATGTAAAGGATCTAATGTCCTCCAAGGCATCTCCATCAAGGGTGATTTCGCTGACGCATGCAATGTTGTATTGAAGAATCTTGCTTATCCCCTTATGTATGCTGAGACCTGCTGCTGCTATACTAATCGTCTTCTCTTGCATTTGTTGTTGCGTATGCAATCGACGAGTCAGATCATCCAGCTGCGTCCTAGTTCTCCATTGTATCCTGTGTTTTCCTCCTGATGTTGACATCGTCATAATCCAGTCGACCACCAGGAAGACGAGAAAGAGTGAAATTAGCAACCTCACCTGACACTAGTCTTTACCTCGAACGAGTTTGTCAGCTGTCCTCCTCACATAGCTATCATTAAACTAGATCATACATTTTATATGGAGATTCATATGATTGTCTTGCTTTTTTTGTATTCTGTTATAAATTTTCAAATAGTTTATTCTCAAAACAATTATGAATATTTAATAATTCGTTTATTTTAATCAAAAATCAAACTAGTCAAACTGTTTTATTTTTCCAATTCAGCCTGAAAAAGTTGCCGAATGTCTACAATTATTTATTCAAGGATTAGGTTTAGGTAAGTAAGTACATGCAAATAATGGCATAATCACTTCTAAACTACACTGCAATTTTGTGATAAATTATTATAATACTTACAAAATTGCTTGATTATTGAATTTTGAACAATTTCATTTTGTCCTGTTTCTTTCAAGTCCTTGTTGAATCCCACAGATCGAGTTGGGATGTTATCATTAGTTTTAGTGACTTGACATTGTGTGCTCAATTTTAACATATTAAGGTTTGCTGTCAAATGCGTCTTATAGAGAAAAGTGATAGTGACTAACTGCCCAAACTGAACTAGGCGGAGCGAAATTAAAATCTATGATCCTTCATGCAGTAATTTATTTATCAATCATTAGCTGTATAATTTCAAATGGGTCTCATGTATCGTCTGTCGTTATTCGCATCGACGATGTCTACAAATTAATTACGTTCAGTTCTCAAGGGTAATCTTGTCTTAAATTAACAATAAGGAAGAAGGGATAGTCCAGATGAAATTAATATAATTGTTGGCGATTTCGTGGTATCGAAACAATACCGAAATTGTGCCAGAGAAAATGAGCGAAAGGTACAGAGCAGCAAAAGCAGGATGGAGACTGCGTACAAGGAAACTGAAGCACAAAAGTACGAATAAACATGTTCGATAAAACGGTCACTGGTACAATTAGTTATAGCCATGAATGTTTCTTATTTAACCAATCGTGTACTCTTTGTAAAAGCGAAATCACCACGCACTATCTAGTCTTGTACATCATGTGATTATTAATTATGAATATAATGAAAGTAAGTTGTTTATTTACAATATCATTCAAAGATGACAGTTTAAAGATTTTTCACCAAGAAGTCATTCTCTATTTATTCAAATGATAAACAGAAGACTAATGATAGACAATGTATCTATCTTGGGGCAGAGTTTTGGAGGTTTGCGTACTTACACATTTGAAATCATCAATCAATCATTGTTAGACCACCATTAGGAAACCTATAAGCACTGGACGGCCGTTTCGTCCTGGTAAGTGATTCATCAGCAGTGTGCATCCATGACTCCTGCTCCTCGCAGGATTCGAACCCAGGACCTTCAGTATTGTGCTTGAACGCCTAACCATCAGACCATTGGGCTGGCATACAACGGTGTTAATGTCTAACTCTGATTGATCTAGGAATTTTGCTCGACCTCACCCATTTGTCGTTGGTAGTTACTGCCTACACCCGACAGGGTTGAACTCCATTGGTCACGTCTTCTCAACTAGAACTACGAGAATTTCCTCACGAAGCTAGTCACTAGTGAGCACTGTTACGTTATTTTGGGGCACAGTTTTGCAGGTTTGCGTTTTTACACATTTGAAATCATCAATCAATCTATCATAAGATAATGTAATCTCAACTTAACAAAAATAAAAATAAACATTTGATACTTTCAATATTCAATCAAAACATATTTATAAATTCATTTTAATAAATTTCTCTAATTAAAAGACTGACTTATTTTATTAAATCGAGTAAACTGTATACACAGTTTTGTATTATAAAGTCTGTGTCAATAAATACGCACAATAAGATACTATAACTTTGCAATCATATCATCTTAAGGGAAATATTCTCAGCGAATCCAATGAAAACAACTCTCCAAGTGGATCAAACATTTCAATGCAGACCATTATAACTACAAGGATGATGAAAAACTAGAAATACCATCGACTTCCTGAATTGATAAAACTATCAAATTGTGCCTTCCATTTGTTAATCAACTTTTCAAATTGACTACTAATAAACTGAATAGCGCGTTACAGCATGCATAAACTTGATTTTTATATCATTAATTCTCATTTATTTTAGACTCATACAAATTCTCTAAATAAATTATAAACAACACATGGTCAGTAATGTTATACTCGTCAGTTGGATATGCTTGAAACTATTAAGAGTTCATCATAGTCGGTAAGCCAGAGCGAAAACAAATGATCCAGTGACATAATAGGCTACTCTAATCCGAGCGTCCCAAGGCGCCTCTAAGAAGTCTTGATATGGCTTAGAAGGTGTATTCTACAAGCACCCAGAAAATCGAGGTTCATCATCAGCACACTAGTCGAGTTTATTTATACGTAATAGAAACGACCTTCGGAAAGCCACAAAAATAGCATACTCAAAATAACACTTCAACTAATAACAGTCAAGGATTTTCCGGGTGGGAAATGTAATTTCAATGTCAACTGATTAGCCCATGCACGAAAAAATATAAAAACCAAAATTACTGCCTTTACCAAGTAAGTTCTGGGGATCTAACGTCCTCCTCTTCTATCGCACACGCAACAACAAATGCAAGAGAAGACGACCAGTGTAGCAGCAGCAGGTCTCAACATACATAAAGGAAAAAGCGAAATTCTCCGATGCAACACAATATGCATTAACCAAATCACTCTTGACGGAGATGCCTTGGAGGACGTTAACACCTTTACATATCTGGGCAGCGTCATCGACAATCAACGTGGATCCGATGCAGACGTGAGGGCACGGATTGGCAAAGCAAGGGCTGCATTTCTACAGTTGAAAAATATCTGGAACTCCAAACAATTTCAACCAAAACCAAAATCACGATTTTCAATACAAATGTGAAGACAGTTCTACTGTATGGAGCGGAAACATGGTGAACTACCAAAGCCATCATCCAGAAGATACAAGTGTTTGTTAACAGTTGTCTACGCAAAATACTGTAGATTCGTTGGCCAGACACGATCAGCAACAAAGTACCGTGGGAGAGAACAAATCAGATTCCAGTGGAGGAGGAAATCAGAAAGAAGCGCCCTGAAAGTGGATAGGACACACTACGAAAAGCACCCAACTGCGTCACGGGACAAACCCTCACATGGAACCCTCAAGGTCAAAGGAAAAGAAGAAGGCCAAGGAACACATTTCGCCGAGAAATAGAGAAAAATATGAGAGGAATGAACAAACATTGGACAGAACTGGAGAGTTAAGCCCAGGACAGAGTTGATTGGAGAAAACTGGTGGGCGGCCTATGCTCGATTGGGGGTAACAGGCGTAAGTAAGTAAGTAACGTCCCCCAACAAGTGATGAAGCCTCACTTATTGCAATTTCCATTAAGACTAAGAATACATCTTCTATGAATAGTGAAAACAGTTGCTGTATCTAAATATGCGCATATCTATCTGTATTTTCCTCTCTTCTTTTTTCTAAAAAAAAACAACATTTTATAGGTGGTGGTATAATTAATCGACGTATGAGTAGTACTATACCAATAGCTAGAAATAGATCATTATCAATGGAAGAATATGATCAACCAAAAGGTGCAACCAATTGTATATATCATAAAAATCGTAAATATAGTACAACAACCGGTCGTCTCATACAAGATGAAAGTCCAATTGATGAACAAGATGATCAAACTGAAACTTGATATTCTCATTATAATGCTATGATGGTATATTTAGTTTATGCTCACAATAAGTAGATAATACAAAACATGATGATGATGATGACAGATAGACAGACAGACAGACAGACATCCGAATACAGACATACACATAATTCATTTTTGTTTTCTATTTCAACAATATACACTTTTCATTATTGAACAAATAGATTACTTTCCATCTTTCTAGTTTCTTTAAAATCATTCGTGGTTTGTTTTTTTTTCTAACAGAACACAGCACAAACACAAACAACCACTAACACAAATACCATTCATTCATTGTCTAGTAATCTTTGTACTCTCTCTCCATCTCTCTGTTTGATCGCTGTTTTTTATTTTATTATTCCATATAGTGAATTGATGATTTAGCTAGGCAAAATGTCCCTCTGTGTGTGTGAGTGTGTTTGTTGGTTCTCTTTCTTATTCCACTAAACAATCAATCCCATGATGATTATCGATTTTAAAATTGGACAAATAAATTAGAATATCTATCAACAGAATGAATAGATGAATTAGTTAGTTTGTTAATTATTAAGTAGAGTATCATTGCTATTATTATTATTATTATTATTATTATTTTCTATTGTAGTATTTATAAAATAATAATTAGATTATTCTATCATTGTACTTAGTTTAATTCAAACACAGCATCACTTTGTTTCATTACTTTTTAAAAATGATTTCGATAATGTGTTGTTTCGTTATTTTTTTTTCCACAAAGAATTATGTTTGCATTAAATATTATTATATTTGTAGAATAATTAATTAATGATAATAGTGATGACAATAATGATTATTGTTATTATGATGACTTGGTGTTATTTTCTGTACGGATACGAAACTTGGCCGTTAAGAGTAGAGGACTTTCGTACTAGTTACTAGTTTTCGATCATATCGATGTCTTCGAAGCATTGCTTGTGTATAATGGGACGACCGAGTAAGCAATGCTATCGTTAGGAAACGAGTTGTAGGTAAGGATGGCAAATCAATAGATGAAGTAGTGAAACTTCATCAGTTGAGGTGGTTGGGACATGTGTTACGTATGCGCAACCACCGACTACAGCGTTTTGCAATGTAGGAGTAGGTTGAAAGAAAGTTAGGGGCGGCCAAACCAAAATATGGCAAAAATCCATGAAGTCACTGACAAGTGGACTGAGTCATGTTGGTAGATGCAGGCTACCTGGTTGGGGTCCACGAGATCATAACAATCGATGGTTAGAGACCTTGAACGACATGGCTCAGAATCGTTTGTAATGGCGAA